ATATATGTATGCTTGTATGTATATGTACTAGGGAATATAGGTGCCCCTTCTGATGCAATCACTGACCTCTAAGCTACCAAAATACCAAATAATTTAGCTAAAATTTATTTAAGTTACCTTAAATTTGGCCAACAATAAAATATCTATTTGATAACACAATGATGATCACTATTTAAGATGCTTTTGAAAAGAAGATCTTGTTGCATCAAAAACAAAGAAATCTGGATTTTTCAGTCTCACCTTTGAACTTCCCGCTCTCGAGCAGCGCTCCGGACTCCTCCAACGAAAAGAACTCCTCAATGGAAACAAAATTGTAGTCTAYCCCTGATATTTCCCCCTCTCGGGGCTGCCGGGTCGTGCCTGTGGAGAGAAGACTCGGCGTCATACGTCAAAGTGATGAGTCTGCAAATAATGTCAGCTCTGACATGGATGATATATCAGTTAATCAAAGCCTGTCCATGCCATCAGGACTCATCAATCTGAGCTCAGTGTTTAAACAAACTGCAGGTCAGCAAGCTATAAATAGTCCCGGTCTAGCTTGACAAACAATGCAAAAATATTTCAATAGGAAACAAGCTAATGATTGCACACAGGTTGGGGAGATTAAAAACAAAATTACAGAAAGAACTAACTCAATCACACTCAAATAAAACTCACAATAATTGGGAATTAGAGTCATTTCATTATATCAGCAGAGCTTTCACCCTCAAACCAAAAATTCCCTTTTGTACGAAGCTAAAAGGCATTTACCAAGACATCTTTATTGCAAGTCGATCAATGAGAACTAAATGAAACATTAATGAGGCGCTGAGAAAGTCTTAAAGTTGTTCTATCACGATTGCTAAAGTGGAGCGCTCAGTTGATCAACAATCTGTCATCATAATCGAATCATGTTGACCTTGGCCTGAGAATCCAAACCGTTTTATGCACGAGATGGAATCAATTTGTTTCAACTCAAACCTCCACACAATTAAACACGAGCGCCCACATGCAGAGCCCATCACCTTCATGCTTCTCATTAAATTACTGGAGGATTTCTCATTTGCAAAAACGAAAGCAGAGAGCCCTCAATCTAACCTTGACGTCATTTCTGTCCGCAGACAAAATCACACCAAAGTAAAGACAAATCTCTGTCCTTCCCCTGGAGGATGGCATGTGACATCTATGTGTGTGTGAGTGGGGAGGGGGGTGGGGGGGGGACAGCAGGAGGAAGTCACACCCAGCCTCCCCATAAAACCTGTGATTAATGCACAGCTGTCCTGGGAGCAGCTCTCCCAGCAACAGTGACACATGCAGGCCTGCACCGGTATGCACCCACACACAAACACGGAGGGGAAAAAAATAAAAWAACAACAAAACAAAACAAGGGTTGTCACACATTTCTGCCAACTCACACACAGGAGTCGACACCGAACACCGGACGGGTTCTCCATCAGCCTGTCCTCTTCCCTCTGCAGCACAAAGTGTGTTTACTTTACAGTCAGCTCTGGCTGTCTGCCTGCTGGGGGGTTGCCAGTGGTAAGCCCTGTGTCTGTGCCCCGTGTCTCACCGGTGTTCCAACACTCTCCTTTAAAGGTTTCCAATCTGCTGCCTGGATCACTGGACACTTTCTCAAGTGGAAACACACTTTGGTTTCAGGTGTTTTCACAGACATGAGAATGTACTCCGCCTTTGTGCCAGACTCTCTGCTTCTTTTTTGTCCTCTTCTGCACAGTTTTCTTTCAATTTATTTAGAAAAATTAGAGTTCTCTGTGCCTAATTAAAGATCTGATAACAAATGTCCTCATGACGTCTGGCTCGTGTGTAACTCTTCTTCTCCTACCCTCAGGGTGCACAGTATCTCTCCAGCTGATACAGTGTGAGGCAGGAATTCATTATCTGTACACCCTCCTTGGAGATAAATATATATAAGACATGTCAGCGGGGAGACAGAATGGATTATTGACATCTTCTTCTTTCCCGCCTGTCCCTGTAGGCGCAGCACACTGATCCCCTGGAACATGGGTGAGAGAGGGATTGAAGAAGGTAATTACACAAAACTCTGTATCAACACCCGGAGAGAGAGCTGTCTGTCAGGAWCGCAGCACACAAACAGCAAACAATGGACGGAACAGCTGAAAAGGCCACAGACGGTCTGCCTGACACGCTGGAGGGAGCATATTAACTAACTAAATGATGATGTTTCTTATCTGCGAGTCGCTCTGAAGAAAATTAGAAAGAAAAAAGAAATAGGCTTTCATGGAAGAGATGAAGACGCAGCCAGCCTTGAGACCACGACTTTGGCTCTGAATCATCCAAGGGCACAAGTACAAACGCTTAGAGTGATTATACAAAAAAAAAAAAAAAAAAAAARAAAAAGGGKGGGAAAGTTTAAGAGAGTAAATTGAGAACTGTAAAACTACAACAAAATGGTAAAAGTGAAACRAGAAAGATGTCATTTCTGATCTTTAAAGAAAGCCGACTTATTTGTGATAAAAGGGACAAGTTGAATACTGCTGTTTTTACAACACAGAAAGCACCTTATAACACACAGATATTATACTCACTATTAACACAGATATTATACTCACTATTAACACAGATATTATACTCACTATTAACACAGATATTATACTCACTATTAACAC